TGTCTCCTGTTAGTGCATCTAGTCTCTGGACTAGGGTTGTGAATCTTTGGGATTCCCAAGATTCTATTTAGAATCAATTCTTGGGGTCACAATTCGATTTTTTTCCCATTCTTTTTAATCCAAACGATTCGATTCAGAAATGATTAATTTACGATTCAAAACAATTCTCAGGATCTATTCCAGTCTGGTGGCATGAAAGAAGAGTAGATTTATAAAGACTTTATAATTGTAAATGTTTTATTTACCTATTGCAATAATGTAAACACAGAAAGGTAAAAAGACAACATGTCTTAGTTCTACCACCAACTCTGGGTGATGTCTTTCGGGATGAGAACGGGGATTTGAAGTACTCCTGAAATACTTAACTTTACTGTTGCAATCTCTGCAAAGCCCTTTCTTACCCGGGCCGGGTTGAAAGTAAAATCCAAAGTGTTTCCAAATGGTTGCTTTTAAAGACCGTGGAGGCGGTTGAATTTCTTTTTCTTCGTCCTCCATACTTTAGCGGCAACAAACACAGTAGCTCACACAACACATCACTCTGTAGCCTGCTAGGCTAACGCTTGCATGCCTGTGCATAGCTCACGCTACTCATTGGTTTCGCCAAACACTACGGTGCCTGGTAAGGCACATCCACACCCACAAAAAAAAAAAATCGTTTTTAAAGAAAATGAGAATCGATTCTGAATCTTTAAATGTTAAAAACACGATTTGAGCTTAAATCGATTTTTTTCCCCATCTACATTCAAAAAAATTTCACACATTTACAAATTTATGTAATTTTATTAAATAAAAAATTCCCTTATATATTGGAAATACATAATAAGTTTTATGTATTTAGTATTAGTAAATTTCACTTATGAGGCTACCATAATGACTTAGACAACTTTTATTGTGAAACAAATCAATACTTATTTGCGTATTTATTCCAAATAGTTTAAAATTATTGTTTGAATTGCATTAAGATAACCATAATTATAATGCACTTCAAACAATAAAATGTATGTATTTAAAATACACTCATCAATATTTATTTTGACTAAATATACTTTATTAATTCTGAAACCTGTAAGATTACAATATATATCAAAATCTGTTGTCATGTCTCCTGGTTATTTAATACATATAAGTTATAAAGAACTATTTAATGAGTTTTTCCCTAGTGATCTCTTTACAGGAAAAAGAACCGGAGAGATAGAGCTTCAAGGTGCATACACAGAGCCATCTTTAACACACATTTATCAACATGTCAGCTTAAAGCATCAATGTAAATATGGGAGAATCAGCACAACAGTTAATTTGCATTTGCTGTCCTAAGGCAGGTAAAAACAGTGAACGTTAAACAAGTAACTACAGGAGAGAACACAGTGGAGACAAGCAGATAAGATGCCAATAACATGAAATCATAATAAAATGAGGTTAACAGCCTAAGGAAACGGGTCAATTCCCCTGTGAACATGTCTGGTTTGTTTTCAACCAATATTTCAAGGAGATTTAAAAAACGTTTGTCAGTTGCACAGCCCTTAACATGAGTTGCCATGACAGAGCCTCTGATGGATGCAACCGTTTGGCCAAATTTGGTCCCACGCCGCTGAACATTACAGCCTCCTTAGGTTACAGCCCTGCTGTTTATGCTAGTGATGTTTTTTTATATATATAAAATCTGTTAGAGGAGCAAGTCTATTCTGATGACGTTAAAAGTTTAAAATGTTGTTCTTACTTAAAATGTTACAATAATTATAACCTAAAGGGTTTTTGTCAAGAACTTTCAGAGTTTTCTTAAAGGAATAGTACACCCAAAACATGATTAGCCTTCATTTTCTACTCACCCCCATGCTGAACAACACCCTGGAGTACTTTTTTGATATCTGAAATGCATCTGGAGATCTGGGAGGCTTCTTGCTGTCTGCTGACATTCAAATAATGGAGGTCTGTGGTGCCCGAGGCAGAAAGGTCCATAAAAGTCCACAAAAAACGTGTCAATATTCCTCCATACTGCTCGTCCAATGTATGCCAAGTGTCCTGAGTGGGTAGCATCCAGAATTTACTCGAAACGAAGTCATTTAGAATGTTTTTAGAGCATAAACAGTAGTGTATAGGATTTCCTAAAAGCGAGTTCACGAGTCTACGGAAACCGCGGCAGACCAAACCAGATGAAAGTGCGCATTCAGCTCGGCGAAGAACTCATGCTCTTCCTCAACACTGAAGTCCTCAGACATTTTTCTTTCGTTGTTTCTTTCTTTGCACAGGTAAACAGCACATTTCTTCTTCTACGCTTGCATTATCGGCAGAGCAGACGCTGAATGTGCACTTTCATCTGGTTTGGTCTGCCGCGGTTTCCGTAGACTCGTGAACTCGCAGGCGCGCGCTTTAAGGAAATCCTATACACTACTGTTTATGCTCTAAAAACAATCTAAATGACTTCGTTTCGAGTAAATTCTGGATGCTACCCACTCAGGACACTTGGAATACATTGGACGAGCAGTATGGAGGAATATTGACATGTTTTTTATGGACTTTTATGGACCTTTCTGTCTCGGACACCATAGACCTCCATTATTTGAATGTCAGCAGACAGCAAGAAGCCTCCCAGATCTCCAGATGCATTTCAGATATCAAAAAAGTACTCCAGAGTGTTGTTCAGCATGGGGGTGAGTAGAAAATGAAGGCTAATCATGTTTTGGGTGTACTATTCCTTTAAATAGAGACTGTAGGGGTTTCAGAATGGCCTCTGAAGTGTGAGACCATGCGGCAGTACTTTATAGGGCTAAATATCACTAATTGGGTCGATTTGACAAATAAAATCACAATGTGATGTACTGAGGTTTGTAGTTGTATACTATTGAAAAAGTTGAAAGGTAGTGAATACTTTTGCAAGGCTCTGTAATTGGCATAATGTTAAAATGAAGTAAAATGTTTCAAGATTTCAAAAAGAACTATTAAACAGGAGTCATAAGATCTGTGGAAGAACTTGTGATAATTTAAAAAGTTAAAGGAAACCATGAATTTTTTTGGCAAATTCAACAGAAATGAGGGATGAAGAATGAAGAGTTTTGCACCTACATGGGTGGTAGCATGTATATGCATTACCTAAGTGCAGGATTACTTATTGATCTGTTAAAGTGTTGGGTAATTGTTTTCCTATCTTGTGGTTTGGTCTGGTTAATGCATGTCTTAACTGAAAGTGTGTCGCGCCACATTATGTTACAGCCGGAGTTATCCCTGGGATTTCCTTCCAACGACTCCTTCGTTTATCAGCAGACGCAGCAGTTCCTTTTTCCTCACCTGAGGGATTACTTTACGGGTTTGACTTCCCAACTGAAAACAACCAACCCCCAATATATATATGTGTGTGTGAGTGTGTGTGTGTGAGAAACATGATGTTGCAGACCTTAAACAGGACAAACTGTAAAACTCTCCCTCCTTTGATGTGGAGGGCTTTCTTGGATGTTACTGGAAGGTGTGTGCGTGTTTGCATAGCGGGAGCACTTTCAGCCGAGCATGTTCTCAGAAATCCCCTCAGATTGCGAGCACAGCTCCGCACCCAGACAGCATGGACCTGGGATTTGCATGGGCAAGGAGCCACGGTGTCACTTATCCGCTTTTAATTGGGTGTGACGGCGAGAACTTTGGAGCCTCGGAGGGGGTAGGGGGAGGTGATTGAGGGGTAGGTTAACGGAATTAGTATTACACTGATTTATAATTTGACTGAAGTCATTCAGAGTTGTTTATAATCATTTAAAACGTGGGCTTCTGTTGCACAGTATGTGCAAAATTGGAAACTTAACTGCTTACAGCAGTTAAAAGGATCTTAGTCAAGTAAAATGGTGCATTTATAACTGATAAATCAACTACAACCTCTTAATAGTAGTAGATGAATACAACTAGTTTCGACAGTAAAAAAGTTGGTTTTAATGTGACATTATCTGGCAACTCTAAGTCAATTTTTTTATCCTAAATCTCCTGCAAATGGAGGTTTTATTTTAAATGATACCAAATGAGTTTTGCTCAAATGTTTCTGCTTTCAAAACAATCCAAACCCTCAGGGACTTATTTAAGGTCAAACGTGACTGACGCACATCCTTAAGCAATATCCATGCATTTAGGGAGTGTTGGCCTTGTGGTTAGAGCAGTTCAATCCCCACAGCCTCAACGCTGGGTCCCTGAGCAAGACCCTTAACCCCTTACTGTTCCCCGGGCGCCGCACAATGGCAGCCCACTGCTCCATAAGAAGATGCAGGGGTATTTTTTTCCAGTGTGAGATCAATAAAGTCTAATTATTGTGCGCTTGGACTCCAGAGTTTCTGAGTTCGAGCCCCACTGGCACAGACTGACACTCTGAGTCCCTGAGCAAGATCCTTAGCTCCATACTGCCTCCAGAGAGCACAATGGCAGCCCACTGCTCCCCAAGGGGATGGGTTAAATGCAGATCCAAATGAGAGTGAATTTCGTTGCTCTGTACTTGTGACAGTGTAAAAAGCTAAAAAAAAAAATAAATATAAAATAAATTAAATCTATTCCAGTCCTGTTCACTGTTCAGCTGCTCATAAAGCACTTTACAAAAATATAATTATTTATCTGACCTGGAGCCATAAAAAAATATTTTTTAATTAAGCTTATTTTCTCTTTTGTTTATTACTTAATTTTATTTTCTCTTGATTTTTAAGCCATTCACAGTGGTCCATTTTGATGATAAAGAAGCTAAATCTCATGACAAAACCTTTGCCCCTACCATAAAATCAGCCCTTTGGTCATGTTAATTTGAAAACATTCTCTTTCATAAGATAAAAAAAATAAATAAATAAAATGCCACAATTTGTGCCCATTTTGCTAAATTATGCCTAGATCACTGTTATTCTAGCTCTACCCACGTGTGTTGAACATCTGTTCTTCAGCTGTTTTAGCTTTTTTCTTACTCCTTTCTTACCGTTTAGTTAAGAGGTTTAATTGAAAGCAAAGACTAAGGCTTTGTTGGGATGGACGGGGATTTTAAAGGTGTTATGCACTATTAACTTGTCAAAAGTTTTATTTTATTTTTTCAACAGAAACCAGGCATAATAAAAGCTTCATTATGGGTCCTACTGGATTATGTGTTACCTTTATATATAACAAAAGATTACCTTAGACTTGATAAACTATGGAAATATTCTTTATAATTTTATTATCTATCTGGGCTTTATAAATGATGTAGCTTTTTTTTTTTTTTAACTTGTGTTTGTGACTTTTTTTAACCCAAACAATTGTATTTTTGTCATCTGTAGAGCAAATCTTTCCTTTTCCTGTTCGACTAAGTCTGTCCATAGATCAGTCAATTATTTCAGTATCCTCATAGTGTATATGCACTAATGGTGATTCTGGAAGGTGAAATATGTAATGGTGTGAAACAGTTGCACAGAAACTGGCCTTCAGCTTCTTTCATCGCTACTATTCTCTTTGTGTAGAGCTTTCTCCTGGACTCGCAGCGCTCACAGTGAGCTGTGATTCTGGGAATCTGGGCTCCATATCCCGGGTCCAGCTGCTCCTCTTGGATCGTCCAGTTCAAGAGACCAGTTTGGAGGATGCTTTTTCCCCCGTTCACGAATGGTCTGACCTGATGGCACCATACGACAGCCCCGAGTGGATTTGGACAGGTAAATGTTGGCAGGAAAAAAAAAAAAAGTTTAATCTGATATCTTCAAGTAAATGTACGGAAGAGGATTAGGGCCACTGGAAAAAAAAAAAGTTAACTGATTTTTAAATTTTATTTCAGTTTAATATGGGAAAAAAGTCAGAATTCTGACTTTTTTC